CCAGTATGCATGTATGCATATATGTATGTATATATGTATGTGCTTGTCGTAATTCAGCAAGCATCTCTACCCGCGTATGTGTGTCTGTGTGTGTGTGGGGGGGGGGAGGGCGTTAGGGGTCGGCCCAGGTCAGTTCAACGGCCCGTGGACCTCCCGCGGTGTTGCGGGGGGCGGCGGGGGGGGGGGCATGCAACCAAGTGTCGATGGGGAAGGCCCTCAGACGCGGCTTGCGGCTTGCGGTCTCGACCTGCTTTGACAGATCACCTGCATAAGACAGTGACTGACTGACTGATTGGTCATTTCGTACCTGTTGAACAGCCAACAAGACTACAGCCGGCATGATGGCATGTAATGGTAGAGTGGGGAGCGGTATATGCCGCACCAGTTTTCCAGCATGGGCCCTGCTGCTAAGGGCACGTCCACCATCACTTTTACACATGCTGTCATCGGAAATCCTTTTCGCGCCGGCAAGCAATTTAATTCAATAAGCTACTGGATATTCTGCCGTAAGCCACGTCAGTGCTAGGTAGCGCCTGCACAGGCAGGTAAGGGAATGTAATGGTAATTGTGTGCCCAAACAATACACCAAGTCGTTTCTATTGGAAATGTTGCCAAGAGCAAAATTCGTTCGACATGAGATCACACTTCATGACGAGTGATCACACGAAAACGATTTTGTCAGACATGCAAAGTCAGAACGGGCACACCGGCAACGCCGACACGCGGCACTCCTTACATACATACAAACAGACGGACGTCCGAGAAGCGCACGCCCCTTGCTGTGCTGTGTCAACCAGGAGCCCTGGGAGTGGTGGTGCTTCTTTTAGACCGCTGGGAAGTGGAATGCCCGCTAGCAAATTCTTTCAGAAAAATGATTTCTCATTTCTAGTGCCTCATCAGTCATTTCAAGATGCACTCACATTATCCCTTTATGCACTTTGGCGTAATAAGCAGTGTCCCCGGCTCAAGTTCTAACATGCCATGCCTTGCACACATATATATACACACATACACACGCATACACACGCATACACACACATATACACACATATACACACATATACACACATATACACACATATACACACATATACACACTTATACACACATATACACACATATACACACATATACACACATATACACACATATACACACATATACACACATACACACACATATAGACACACGTGCACATTGCTCCCGCATCTCCCACCCCCGCTCTGGCGCCCGTAGCAACTCCCAGTTCACTTCAATCCGAGCGGCTATCGCATCTGACCACAGCCACGCGGCAATCCCGTACGTTGTTGCTTCATTGTTCGTTGCATTAATCCCGGGCTACTTTTCCAGTATTCTCCATTTTCGAAACCCACCCACCCACACACACATACACACACACCTAAGCACATCCGCAGACATACACACACACATACGCGCGCACGAGCACGTTCTCCTCAAGAATGCCTCTCCTCCATCTCCTCCTGTTCTCTTCCCATAGCTTGTGCTTTACGTCCGACGCTTGCCAAAACGCGCGAGCCCCAGGTCGTATAATCTGCGTGTTTTAACACACAGCACATATAGCACACACAGCACACGCGCACCTGCTCACCCTGCACGCACGCTCACCACCGCCGCTCCTCGCTCTGCAGCGCAACCGTAGCCTTAAGCCTTAAGCCCAGGACGACCCCTTCGCTGCCGGCCCCTCTCACGGGACCTTCACCGACATGGGAAAGCAACAATAGGTGTCTCCCATTACAATCCCTACACGCCTGTGGTTGCACTGCCGAGGAGGGGAGGAGAGGGGAAAGGAGGGAGCGGAAAAGAGGAGAGCGGGAAGTGGAAGTAGTTCTTCCGTGGGTCATGTGTTGTTGTTGTTGTTGTTGTTGTTGTTGTTGTTGTTGTTGTTACATGGTCGTGGGTGCGTTCCCCGTACCTGCAAACCACCCTAGTACGAGCCGAGGGCTCAAGGGCTGCCAAATCGCCTATAAGCACCATCCTACCTCGCACTTCCAGCGAAACAAGTGATGAAGTATACTAACGACCAAAGGGAACGATAGAGTTGCGGTGAGACCATATACGTTCCAGCATCCTTGCCAGGCGTTCAGGTTCCCACTTCATAGCGTCCTTCATATGTTCGAAGCGTGGAAAGCCCATATCAGATCTGATTCCGTCGTAAACCGGGCAGTCCAGCAAAATGTGTTTCTCATCCTCGATGTGGCTACCAGTGCCGCAGCAAGGGCATACTCGCTCCTCCCTAGGTATATAACGCCGTCCCTTACGCGTTCTGTTAGCCGCCAGTGCCCAACAGCAAAGCCTAAACTGCATAAGCTTGCGATTCGCCGAACGTGGGATAAACATTGTGATGTGCGGGAGCACCTCCTTCCTGCCCGCTTGCTCGGCCGCCAGCCCCATCCAATGCTTATACTTCGCCATGTGAATTCCTGGTTGCTTGCCGTCTGACGGATACACGTCAGGCTGGACATCTAAACGCGTATGCTTCCAACCACTCATTAATCGGTCCTTGAACTCCAAAATCACACCTTCTGGCATTGGTTTGTTCATCAGCCACTCCACTCGTTCGTCTACCTCGTGTAGCCCTTGTGNGGCCTCTTTTCATACATCGTGCCCCAAAAAACATAGAAAACGGAGGAGTAGTGTCCCCCATCCGGGCCCTTCGGGGTTGGAGAGGGACTCTGTGACCTCCTGTCGCAAAACTTGGTATGCCACAGACCCACGCTGTAAACGGACATGGTTCCAAAACCTCACAACCTGCTTGAGAACGTGGTAGTGTAGGGGTAGCTGCGATAGCTCTGCGAACAAGAGGCGGTGTGTTGGTCTGGCAGCTCCTACAATTTGCCGCATGAAAGATATCTGAAGCTGCACTGCCCTGTCCTTTAGGCACGCCTCAAAGGGCCCCTCTGCAAGGTTATTCGCATCACTCCGCTTCCTGAGCCTGTCCGAGACCTCAGCTAGCATAAACGGCCCCCACGCTTGACAACCATACAACAGTATTGCTCGTACCTGCGTATCGAAACACCTCATCCTCACATCTGGGGCGAACAACTTTAGCTTATCTAATTTTGCACTCAACGCGAACATAGCTGCTCTAGCTGTGTCATACAACTGCTGGCGGCAGGCCCAGAACTGCCGTTCCGGCCCATACACTAACCCCAGATATCGTGCACTATCCTTAGCCGGTATGGCCTCCCCAGCCAGCCTGAGCTCATCACACGATGCTTGGACAGCACTTCTAGTGTCGCTGTCACTCGCAAAAACGAGGCGTTCACATTTCGACACATTTGGGCACATCCCAAAATCGTCACAGAACATGTCCACAATGTTGAGCAACTCTCCCATGCGTCCTGGTGTTGTTGCCAGAAGGCTAACGTCGTCGGCATAGAGAAGGATGGACACTCGCTCATTTCCAACCTCCGGTGCATCCTCTGGCCGTGCCCCGGTAGTAATACCGTCGTGCATATCGATGACGTCCGCGAGGGTCTCAATGTAGAGCCCAAACAGCTCAGTAGATAGTGGGCAGCCTTGTTTCACACCCTGTTTTGACTCAAATTCACCTCCAGCCTTGCCATTCGTCTTGATGACCATCGCAACCTTATCATATGCCCGCATCAGCGACTGCAGCATGGACCCTTCAACCCCTCTCTCTTGCAAGCGAAGCCACATTATCTCCCGCGGCACCTTGTCAAACGCCTTCTCAAAGTCAATTTGCACGATGATTAACGGCCGCTGTCCCGGTTGACTGTGCCTAGTAGTAAGGTACTGCTTGGCAAAGAGATGATGTGTAGTACCGAAACCTCTTCTGAAACCCGCTTGGCCTCGATGCCTAAGTGAGAGCGTCTCCCCTGTGCGAACGAGCCTATCCAGGAGGACCAGCGCATAACATTTCGCCAAAGCGCCCCCTACTGCTATGCCCCGGTAGTTACTCGGCATGCTGGGGTCCCCCTTCTTGTAAATAGGGGTGAGGACGGTAGTTGTAAACTGCCGTGGGAAGTCCCCAGTCGCCCTGATATGCTCCAGAAGCACGTGCAGTACCGGAACAAGCTGATTCACTTCCCCCCGTCGCCTGCCCCCACCATTACCCGACGCGGAGCCTTCTTCCTCTCGGGGCAAACGCGCATAGCGGTAACATTCCGACGGCGCTACTTCCAAACCTGGTGCCTTACTGTTAGGCAGCCTGTCAACAGCACGTGCGACTTCCTCCAGCGTGAGAGGGGGGTCTAGGATTTCTGCTGCCTTCGCAGTCCTACCCAAAACCGAGTGGGATGACCGCCATTCCTGCCCCTCTAGAAACTGCCCAAAGTTAATGAAGTTCAAGAGCCGGTTCGCACCATCAGGCCCTGTCTCCCCTACACCTGCGTTTAAGAGCCCAGCAAAGTGTTCCCTGAAGACCTCAATATCGTCTATCGCACATCGCTCCCTCAACTTCCCTCCTAAAGCCCGCCACAGAGCTCGTTGGTCATGCCGACATTTGGCCACAAAATCTCTCATCCTATCCTCCTCATAAGCCGCCCTTGCGTGTCTTTTTGCCCGGTTATAATCCGTCCGCGCATGACGGAAAGCCTCCCACTCCGGACCCGATTTATTACTCACCCCGCCTGGACCCAGATGTGCTCTACTCTCCCACATGCGTTGCCGTGTTTGTTGACATTCCCGGGTTCCACCAAACCGTATTCCCACCTGCCGTCATGCCGGTAGGTCGGTGGGTATCGAAGGCCCTCACCAGGACTTTGTACAGGGCACCTCCAATGCGTTCGACAGCTTGTGTGGTGTTGCAAACTCCCCTCTGCAGGTCCTCGGCCACTTGGCTTAAGGCATTCATAGTAGGGGACCCCCCCTCAAAATATTCCGCGTAATCCTGGTATCGTGCAATATCAAACTCCACCCGGGCTTTCCGGCCTTTACCGTCCCTACACCTGCTTTCGTCATCCACTGTAACATTAAGAGCAAGCGTCAAAGGACGGTGGTCGGTGGGCTCCCATCCATCCAACTCGATCAGGTTTCCTACCCTCAGAAAGGTGGCATACTGCTGAAGCACACGTGGAGTCGCTATGAATAAATCGATCATACTACCGCCTGCCTCCCCCTTAGGGAAAGTTAGGCGGCCTTCTGGGTCCCCTCTCATCCGGCCGTTCATCACGAGCAGTCCCTCGGATCTGCAGAGCGCCCCAAGCTGGGCACCAAAGAAATTGCAAACTTGGTCCTGGCACTTTCGATTTCCGAGTCCATCATAATTCTGGTGGTCCCTCAGTCCTTCAAAACCCATGACCTCGCATACGGCCTGCAACTGCTCTAAATCCGGGATGTCATTCATGTAAGCAGGTAAGTCCATCGGGGTAGCACGGTTCCGCTCATGCTGTGCTCCAGACAGACGTGCGTTAAGATCCCCGGCAATCAGCACGTCCTCATCGCCAAGCCTGAGTTCCGTTAGTGACTGTTGGATCCTGGTAAAAACGGCTTCTGCTGCTGCAGTGCGTTGTGATACGGTGCCTCCACCATCCGGGTAGACCCTGGACGTCTCTGGTGCGAGGTAGCAGGCTCCCATCAGGAGACTGTTACCTGTGGAAAGGCTAACGCGTGCCCAAATGACCTCGCACCCTGGCAGCTGGTTGTCCTTGCGCACTACCGTAATACCCCTCGTGAGTGACTCCCGTACATACAGCGCGACGCCTCCATAATCGGCCCTCAGGGCTTCCTTTGACCTCTCCACCCGGAAAATACGGAACCCTTCCAAAGCTATGTCTTTCTCCTCAGTAGTGTCCTTCAAATGCGCCTCAGCTATAACCACAATATCGTGACTCGTGACGAACGACCTAATTCCTGCCTGGTTGAGCTTGAAAACTCCCGCCTCCAGTAGCCCATGAACATTCCATAGTAAAATCCTTAGCCCTCGGCTCGCGAGCCCCTAGGTGTCATCCATTTCGTCAGCATTAGGGAGGTTTGCGAAGCGGTTTGTCCTGTTAACCGCCAGTTGGTCCCGTGCCCTGTCGTCCCTGCCCCCACTACCGCTTCCTCCTTGGCCCACCTGCCCGTTTCGCGTGCTTCCCGCCACGAGTCGGAACCCTTCAGCGTCGACGCCCCGGCTGTCCGGCCCTGGTACTCGTGGGTCGCGTCCGGCTGGTGGTCTGTAGCTTGCTCGCTCCAGAGTGCCTGGTGACGCCGTGTACATCAGTCCAATGGTGCCCTCGGTCCGCAGCTGCTTCGAGGGTTTCGCCTTTACAGCGCTAAGTGAGGCCTCGGGTGGTATTTTGCTTTTATTGTTCGCAATAAGCGCCAGCTCATGCCCGGACGGGATTGGTTCGGGAGGTGGTGGAGGAGGAGGGGCTCTGGCGGTCGGGTTGGCCCCTACTGAGGGCGCTATCGCTGCCGGCCCTGCCCTGCAGGCCACGGATGGGGATAGCGGTGCCCGCACACCACGCGCCCACGAGGTGGTCGTTGGTGCAATAGCTGCCGTTGGGTTTGTTGCCCCTGCGACGGCCGGAGCTGCAGACCCTGCGGCCGCCATCTTGGGGTCCCGCACACACCCCTTCCCGGCTGCTGCGGTCGTAGCTGCTGCTGCCACTCCCGAGGTGCCACCTCCGGGGCCCCTGCTGCCGCTGGCCCCTCCTTCTCCGCCTCCTGCGTTGCCACCGACATATTCACTGCCGTCCGCTCCCTGCTCGGCAGCTGCAGTCCCTTCTCCATCGCTGTCGCCTCCGTCGGCGCCGTACTCCGCGCTGCCCAGGTCGCTGTCGGTATCATTCCGGGTCCCATACGGCTGCGCTTTTCCGCCTGGTCGCTCCTTTATGTATAGCTCGGCCCCGTTCCTCCAGACTGGGATCACGCCTTGTCGCATGATGTCCTGCCGCAGCGGGGCCAGGCGCTTTCTCTCGATCCTCCCCGCTTGGGTCAAGTTGTCGTCGATGCCCACCTTCTGGTGCCGTAGGACCTCAGCAGCCCTGAAGAATGATGGCCGTTCCGTTATATCGAAGTACGCGCACCAGGTCTTGCGGTCTTTATTCGGATCGTTCCCCAGGAGCCTGATCCGCTTAATATTAACGTCCGCTTCCCTTAGGACGTTCTTGATCCTGCTCTCATCCACGTTCCCAGTCGTGAAGATCCGCATGCTATCCAAATAAAAGAGCCCGTTTTGATGGACTAGGCCGAAGGCGTCGTAGTAGACTCCCCGGCCACTCTTCATCAGGCTCTTTACTTGCGTTTTTAGTTCCGCTTGCTCATGTTTGATCGTGCGGATTTCCTGGTTGGTGGCTGCCAGGCCTCCCGCCAGCCCGGCTATCTGATCTATCAACTGTACCATGAGGCCATTGTTGGCCAGTTCCTCAGGATTGTTCCGTGCTCGTTGTATGTAGTCCATTTCTATTTTTTTTTCTTGCAGAGCTGGGCGTCATGTGTATAACGATGGTGGTGGTGGTGGTGGTGGTTGTGCCAGGCCAGCCCCCCCACCCCCCCCCTTCCTTCACAGCCAGGGCCGCGGGCAGGCCGCCGGGTCCAGCGGTTTCCGGATACACATGTAACCTCCGAACAGAGTCTCCATGCGGCGGGCACTGATGGACCTGCAGCTGTGCCCGGCAGGGTCATCCTCGTCCAGTAGTGATACGCTGCACAGCCGCTCCTCCTCTGTGTTGCGGCCGCCGCTGCTGCTGCTGCTGCGCCTGCTGCTGCTAAGGATGCGGCTGGAGCTGTCGCTGTCGCTGTCACTTATGGAAGGTAGTTCTAGGCCGGGCTGTTGTCGCTGCCCCTGCTGCTGCTGGTGCTGGTCTGAGGGCAATGGGGAACGATCCATCTTGCCGTCGACCGCTCCTCCATCTGCTGCTGCAAGTGCTGGTGCTGGTGCCACATCCGGGTCGTTCGGGTCCCTGCAGTCCAAGAAGGCATCCAGCTGGGGGTCCACTTGCCGCAGCTGCTCGGGGGGGGTGTCCGGGTGGGCGGCCTTGGCGCGGAGGATCTCAAGAAGCGTCTCGAACGCGTCGTACCGACCCGACTCCCCGATGTACGACCCCGTCACAGTGCTGAACGCCATGTGCTGGGCGGCGCAGCGGAGCAGCACCTCCTTATGAGCATACTCCTGCAGGGAGTCAAGCAGGAGGACAACATCACACCACTCCATACCTGTAGCCGTCAGCAGGCAGCAACAACTCCACCCCCACCCCCACCCTCTCCCCTCCCCTCTCCCCTCCACCCCCACCCCCACCCTCTCCCCCCCCCTCCCCTCTCCCCGTCCCCCTCCACCCCACCTCCGGGCTGATTGCCTCCCGCACTTCATGCATCCGGGGTATATCGGCCTCCGCCAGTCTCACACCGAATGTGTTCCAGTCCAGGAAGGGCTCAAACGCCTCCAACACGTCGTCCGAGATAACCACGGGAACACAGCCCGCCTGGACAGCCTGCATCTGCGGTGCCGTACACGAGGGAGGGAGGGGGTGAAGGAATCCGGGAGCGCACGAGGAAAGTGTGAAAGGGATATGGATGGGGGGGGAGGTGGGGAGGGAGGGAAGGCGGGTGGGGGGGAGGGGAGGGAGAGGGGGGAGGGGGGGAGGGGGGAGGGAGGGGAGGGGGGAGGACATCGGGGGCGTTACATCATTATGCACACAGTCGCTAACTTAGGGTTTTCTGAGAGTAAGAAGAAAAAACCTTTAAAGCTTTAAAGTGAACTCAGAAAAGTTGGTTGTGAAACTGGCCGTGAAGGGGCAGCTGATGCGAGGGAGGGAGGGACGCGGTGCAGCAGGTGGCCGTCAAAAGGGGTGCACCCGGGGGCCCCCTGCTACCTCTGCAATAACATGGGCCATGTTACGAAGGAGAGCGCATGAGCCCGCCGAAGTAAGCCAAGCAGAAAGCACCGAGGCAAGAGTAAGAGTGGTGAGATTGTGCTGCCGCGCTTCGGGGTTGGTTGAGGGGCTAGGCACCTGCCTGCTGCCGGGGGCCCCATCAACGGTGATCCACGGGGTACCACGGCCCCCAAAGTGTCATAGTGAGATAGGTGCAGGCGATGGCCTGCTGCCGGGGACACAGCAGTCCATGGGGTATATATATGATGAATCCCCGGGTGGAGATTTAGTTCAGCGTGGGCGCCAGCTGCCCACTGCTGTCCCGCGTGGCTCTATGAAGTGTTGGCTAATTAGGCGAGTCCCGCCCGCCATTCAAGAGGGGGCTCTGGCACTCCCCTCTTGACTATTGCAGTACTGGGTAGCTGGAGCCTCCACCCGGCCTCCACCTACCGAAGGAAGAATTATTTCAATTGCGTGCAGGTTGTACCCTTTGTAACGTTTGATAATTTCCCAGGAAACAATGAGGGAATGAGAAATACTACAGATGCCGTACAGTCAGGACCCGAACACGAGAAAGGAAAAGGGAGGGGAAGTGGAGCCACTCGAAGATGTGGCTCTCGGAGGTTTGAGGGTTTAAGAGGAGTTACAAAACCGGAAAGAGGAGTTACAAAACCGGAAAGAGGAGTTACAAAACCGGAAAGAGGAGTTACAAAACCCACAGAGGTGGGTTTCTAAAGGGGAGGAGGAGGAGGAGGAGGGGGGAGGAGGGGGGAGGAGGAGGGGGGGGAGGGGGTTTGAGAAGTCCTACGGGGAAGGAAGGGAGAGCAGGAGATCTAACGCCGAACGGAACATGAGGAGGAGGACACTAGGAAGCTTCGGCCTTTGCCGTACCGTCGTATAAACATACCTGACGCTGGCCTGATGATTGTTAATTGGCGGTTAGTGACAGTTGCATGTTGTTGTGGACCAGCAGGACGATGACCGTTGGGATGACGACGCAACAATGTCCGCGGATAAAAAGTGTTTGGTGGCAGCAGATTCGCCCCGGTTTGTGGTTTATGGCGCAGTCGTACAGTCGTGCGCGTGCATGAGGAGGTTTTGAGGATGCACCAGGCGGCGGGGGAGGGGGGAGGGGGAGGGGAGGAGGGGGGGCATTGGGACATGGAGACAGGTCAGCAGTGTGGCAAGGCAAGGAGCCGCTGGAAGGACGCTGTGACAGCGCCATAGTACCACAGGACCGTATGATACAGAATTGAACCATGGTGAAGCTGAAGCCCTGCCATGCAACCTTTTCAGCAGCGCTCTCTTCCGCCACCGCAGTGCTTCCGGAAGTTCGGTCAGGGATGTGCGTGAGCCGGATAGGTGGTGGTGGATAGAATGTGGGTATGGATAATTAGATGGAGGATTATTGGGTTACATGGCAATGGAAAGCTGCTACCATGGTGCGTGCTGCCAGTATGCCAGGTATGGGTGCTGTGATTGGTGTTGCGAATTCGCTGCAGCAGTCATGGTGGTGTGCTGAGCCACGATGATGTCGATTTAGCGCTGCAAGGGAGCTTCGACATTTAGATTTTTCTGGCGTGCGTGGATTTGTGACGAAACCGTACAGTGCCGCCACCACTGGCAACAACCTCAGTGCAGGCCAACCAACACGGTGGTCACTCTGCATTCAGTCCGCTCTCCTCATCCCCTTCCCTCGTCCCCTGCCGCCTCCCCTCCACCACTACACACACCCTCCCCCCTTCCTCCCCCCTTTCCTCCCCCNCTTCCTCCCCCCCTTCCTCCCC